ACTGTTGTATTATGTATAGGATTAGAGGTATGAAGTATTGTTTGATGATGTTTATAATTGTTGTAGAATTCATGAACTGTTGTATTATGTATAGGATTAGAGGTATGAAGTATTGTTTGATGATGTTTATAATTGTTGTAGAATTCATGAACTGTTGTATCATGTATGGGATTAGAGGTATGAAGTATTGTTTGATGTTTATATCTTTTGTAGAGTTCATGAACTGTTGTATTATGTATGGGATTAGAGGTATGAAGTATTGTTTGATGATTATAACTGTTGTAGAGTTCATGAACTGTTGTATTATGTATGGATTAGAGGTATGAAGTATTGTTTGGCTATGTTTATTATTAGTGTGGTGCAGTTTTTCTGAGAGTTTCGATATTGTGCTGTGAAGTCAAAATGATTTTTGACTGCTTCAATGATTGTTCTTGTGGTGGTTATGTTTACTGTGGTTTGTGTTTTTGTTTGCTTCGTTTGTTTGTGCGTTTCATTCTTCTGTATTTATGTGTGTGGTACTTGCGCGTAGCTTCTTGTTCAGTGTTATTTGTTTCTTGTTGTTCAGTTTGTGTTTCAGATGCGTTTTCTTCATCTTCTTCACAGTGTATAGTTACTGCCAGCGTATTTGTAATTTGTTCTTTTTCCATGCGTTTCGTTCGTCGTTTCTTGTGTTTGCTTTCTGTATTAAAGTTGGCTTCTTGATATAATTGTGCTCGTTTCAGTGGTTTTGTTAGGGTGTCTTCATATACTTCTTCGTATTCAGATTGTATGTTTTCTAACTTGTTTGTAACTAAGCACTGTCTTTATTCTTTCCGAATTTCGCGCGAAACTTACATGGGCTAGCGGCGTATAACCGTCCCCAATATTGAACTCATCAAGAGTATTAAGTAACGCAGCTAGTTAACAGCACGCACCATTAATTATTGGGTTATTCGTGTCTGATCGAATAGTGGGGTTTAACTGTTACTCTTACAGTGCAGCAACGTCCTTAAATTGTAGAACGCGTTTGCGGCAAGAGGCCGTGACCCACGAATTATCAGATTCACAGTCTTGGCAACTACTAGACCAGGCCTGCCATCTGTTAATAAAATTATCGTATTTTTATTCATCACATCATCGATCTTGCAAATGATTTTTCGCACTCGTGTTCTGTAAAATTCACTACCTGGTTTAAGTGCTCTATTCCTTTTAGGATGTCTCTCGTTCACCGCGAAATGACGTGTTGGTAACTAAGGGCAATGTAAAATATATATAAAGATCAAAGTTCATAAAATATCGCGTTTCTGTTTACACTTTGCATATTTCTTCGTTTCTATATCTTCAAATGTTGCGTTTTCTTTACACCGCAAATGTTTTGCGGTGTAAAGTTCTAATAAAAACAAATTACTCTCACGGAAATCATATTCTAATGTTTCAAACATATATTTTTATATTACGGAAAAGTTTTATCTACTAAACTTACGCACACTTTTTTTTTTATCTTAATTGATGCATTTATATCGAAAATATTATTACTATCTTATAATATTTATTTTACCATATCTCGTTATGGTATCTTAAGCTCCTAACATCGAGAAAGTAAACAAGTAATCGTTTGTTGGTTCTGAAGCGACAAGTCTATATAATGAGTTATCTACGTTGTGCCAATCACAACGAACATTCTCAGAATCGTAACGTTGTAAGCCTTAAATTTAATCGCTGGGCTACCTGTGACCAGCAATCAATGTAATGCGGACAGAAACTGCGTTTAATAGAATATTTCTATTGTTTTTAGTACGTAAATTAATTGTTATTTAGAGATACATAAGATGTCAAAATTACTTGAATATGATGCAAATCAGCTACTTACTAAACATAAGAAGTACTTGAAAAATCATGGTATTGGACATTACTTAAAATTTAAAGTATTTATTTTTTAAAGACAAAAAATATCAAGTAAAATCTGAGACAAATAGACAGCAGTCATTTCAACATCCAATACAAAATTAATAAACACATGAACAATACGCGCTTACAAACGTGCTGCAACAGGATTCTATAATTAGAGGGAGGGAGAAGTATCTGTGCTTTGGCCGCTTCTAAAAACTCATCTAGTGTGTAATCATAATCATTAACAACGAAAACAACAACAACAAAAGAACACCGAAGATACATGGTCTTTATAAATTGTGCGTTTTACGACTTGCATCCTGTCGTAAACCTCTTATTATACTATATATATATATAATGGTATACAAAGGTGTATCATATACTGGTTACCTAGACGTTATTAAACACGGGAGTTTTTTGTAATGTACACTTAGATGGTACAGCAAACTAAATGGTTACTGTCAATTATGTAGTTTCAAAAATACTCTTTTAAGCCGAGTAGATTGTACTGTATTTACAGTTTTTGCGGGAAATATCTGCTCATAGAATAGACACAGACGATTTTCCGGTCTCGGTGCTATTTTCATCAGAGGCAAAAAATGTTGTCCATTTCAACAAGGTGTAGAAATGATGCTGAATTTATTATTTATTTAATTAAAAAAAAATACATACATTCACCTCTTCAACACTGTTTTGACGTTTGCCGCTAGGCCTACGTTGCATTCTTTTGCTCCTTAGCTGTTCGTCTTGGTCACCAACCTCAAGTAAACTTGTAAAGCCCTTAGCTATTGAATTTAAGTTATTGCTCTAGAAAAACTTGTAGGGGTTAAAAACTAGGAAGCTAAATTCAATGTGTTTCTAAATATATATATATACTTCTAAAAGTACGAAACTTGGCAACTGCAAGCATTC